AGCATGAGACCCTGGGGTCTTCACAAGAGTAAAAACAGCCAGCCTGAGAAGGGCATTGGAGATAGAGCTCTTAGCAGGTGCGTCTCTAAGGAACTCACAAAAGCTCCTTGAGAGAAAGGGCAAACATTATATACCTGTTACCCAGAGGGCATCAACTCCAAGGCAAGACTTGGAGCAAGCAAAACTTTCCTTTCCTTTCCCCCTGACCTCCAATCCTGTGGAGGCCAGAAGCCTTTAGTTATTACATAGAGGAGGAGGCAGAGCAGAAAACCAGTGAAGAAGCCACCTCCAACCCCCACACTCCTAGTCCTGGACTGGGGTAAGGGATAAAACGTAATTGAATGATATTCAGTGTTATAGGGCTATTAGGCTGAGATGACTCTTTATTACCTAGTAGTAGCCAAAAAAGCCAGAGACTTTCTGGAGATTTCATTCAGGTTTAGGTAAATAACTTTTCAATAAGCAAAGTTTAATGGGAAAAGATTGTACTCGATTGATCCCACTTCCTTCAGAAATTTGGTTACATGTATGTACCCACTTCCATGTAAAATATATGTTTAGATGTATACATATTATATTAAGATATATATATATATAATATGAAGATAATTACGCATATTATCACAAAAAATGCTGCTGTGAATATTCTCATAACTAAATCTTTGTGCCTTTGGATACATTTCCAGAACTGGATCAGCAATTATAAAAGTTTTAAAAATTTTTTGATAGATATCACTTATGCTTCAAAACAGTTGTATCAGTTGATATCAATTTACATTCTCCGTGGAAGCTTCATTTCTCTTTTCTTAAAGATTTTTGGGTACAGGTCTTTAGAAGTAGATTTTTTTATATGGTCTTACCACTTCCAGTCCAGTCCCTTGTAATCTATATTTTATTCATCAGACAGAATAATATTTTAAAAATATAACTTTCCTGGGGTGCCTGGGTGGCTCAGGCAGTCGAGCATCTGACTCTTGTTTTTGGTTCAGGTCATGATCACAGGATCCTGAGATCAAGTCCTGTGTCGGGCTCCATGCTCAGCATGGAGTCTGCTTGAGATTCTCTCCCTCTTCCTCTGCCCCTCCCCCTGTGCTTGTGCGCTCTCTCTCTAAAATAAGTAAATAAAATCTTTAAAATATATATAACTTTCCTGCATTTGGCTTTCTCAAGTGCTCTTCACTCTAGGTGGAATGCACTTCCCCAACATTTCCCATAGCTTCTTCCCATCTTTTGCGTCCTAGCTTAAAAGTCACCTCCTCAGAAAAGTAAGTCTTCCCTGACTCTCTCTTACTCAAAGTAAGGCTTCCTTTACCCCCCACATAACACACCACTTCTGTTCTTTAAACTGTCATCTATAGTTATTTAAACTGTTTATCTGCTTGTTTGTTTTTTCTCTCTCCTCCTGAGGTATAGGCTCCATGGCGACAAGGATTTTGTTTGTGTGCGGGGTGTGTGTGTGTGTGTGTGAGTGTGTGTGTATGCACGGTGTGTGTGTGTGTGTGTGTGAGTGAAAGCTTACTGTGGACAGTCTCCACCCATAGCAGGTCCTCAGTCAATATTTGTTGAAGGCAGGACGGAAACAAGGAAGCAATGAATGACAGAAGCAGACCTGCTTCCAGTTTTTCTCTCACCTGATTTCAGTGTCATCTTCCAAGTCATCCTTCTTTAGGTTGGTAAGGACTGGTGGAGGGGCACCTGGCTGCCCAGCAAATACCCTCTCTCCTTAGTGATAGCCAAATCATTTTCATTAGCACTGTCTCCCCTTGCCAGGGGAAAGGCTGCCTGTTTCTGGACTCTTCCACTGAGAGCAGTCTGCAGTGGGGCCAAAGCTCAAGCTATTTTTGGTAAAGATATTGGACAAGTGCCATTTCAGCCTCTGCCCTGGTACTTTGCAGTACTTGGTGAAAGTACACTCTTCTTGGGCAAAGCATGGGAACCCATCACCTACTCTGGAAAACTGCAGAAGCCTCTGGATTTCTGCACATAATTTTCTGTCCTGAAGAGCTTTATAATAATAATAATAATAATAATAGTTGGCTGAATGGAATACGGAGGGAATGGCATGAGTCATTCATGTTTCAGGCCAGAGTGGGTTTCCACCTTGAATATGTCGGAGTAGGGGAACTATGGATTAATTTCTGGCTCTGCAACATGATGGTTATAAACTTCTATTTCAATTCGTGACACAGTTTTGCTTCTTATCAACAAGATGTCCAAAGAAGAGAAAAGTACTACTATATGTAATTCATTTTGATCTCACACTTATTTCATTTTAATGCAATCAACTCTTATTCCCCCAGCTTAGATGGAGAGCAAGGCATTAAGCATACTCAAAGTGAATATGATGACCACTATTGGCAGAAGGGAATTTGGATGCTGAGGAAACAAACAAATAAGAAGCTTAAAGTGTTGGAAACTGAGTTAAAAACAGGGATTGAAATAATGATTTTTTAAAATGATTTACTTATTTTAGAGAGAGAGCAAGAGAGAGCAGGGGGAGAGGGAGAGGGAGATAAGCAGACTCCCCACTGAGCTCAGAGCCCTTATATGGGGCTTGATCGCAGGACCCCGATATTACGATGTGAGCCAAAATCAAGAGGAGGATGCTTAACTGACTGAGCCACCCAGGCGCCCCAAATAATGATTTCTGTGTCTGTGTCACCCTTATCCCCGGTGAAACTGAATTGTGTGTGACTGTATGTCCATTTCGCAGTGTATAGTTGAGTGAGTTGTGCACTATGCAAATCTATAAGCACTACTTACATTGTATATCTCTGAATTCCTCTTTTCCTCTTCTGCCATGGTTGTGTATTACACGTTTTAGACAAGAACAAGTGGCTGTCCATCCCGTGAATAGTACAGTCTGTGTATTTTCCACATTTAATGGTTTGATTTAACCAAAAACAAACAAACAAATAAAACCATATATTGGGTTCTGTCCTGCAGTTAAAAAAAAAATCACTTGTCTCTTCACAACTAGTTTGACATTTTCTAGTTTGATTCTAGTTTCCTCACGTCTGGCTTAATTATTTATGGATGTAGATTATACTCAACATTAATTATCATGGGATGGGTTTCTCAGTTTCAGGTTTTGTTGGTAATTCTTTTATCTTGAGCCATTCACTTCTAGGTCCTTATGCCTCATTCTTTGTTTCTATGGTACAGTTGATTTGGTCTACAGAGATGTGTTAGACAAATGTCTTCCATGAACACATCTATTTCGTGGCAACCATGGACAGTATTTTTTTTAAGTTCTAAACCTTCAAAAAGAACTAATCAAATGATTTTATCATTTCATCCTTCTTTGGTGAGAGATTTAAACTTGAAACATCATTTATATCAAATGGCAACACAATGACAGAGCTAATGATTTACTAGATAGCAAAAAGCATTCTCCTTCCAGAATATTTGCCTTTTGATTGTCTCAGTCCTCCTATGACACATTCTTGGGTGATTCTCTTCTTTATCTGACCAAACCAAAGTGACTAAAAGCTAGTGTTCCTGGCCAGAAAGGAAAGATTGATATAATCTTAGAGTGGAAGGGTCTTCAAATCTCATCAGGTCAAATAGTCCACTCAATAAATGAACTTTCTTCTCCATAGCTCTGACCACAGGTCATCCAGCCTTGGTTTGGTCACCTCCTGTGAACAAGAACTGTCCATTTCTGATGCTGTCTTTGTGCCTTTGCAGATAGGGCAAATGATTAGAAAGATCTTCCTTGGAAAGGAAGGAAGCTGCCTCCCTCATGACATCTGCTCTTCAGAAGGGCTATAGGACAAAGCTGGTATCACACATATCTCCCTTCGGTCCCTGTCCTGTGGTACCTGGGGCAAGTCTCAATTTGTTGGAGCTTCAGTTTCCATGTGCGCGATAGTATGTATCTCATTGGTAAATGTGCGGGATAGTAGGTATCTATTCCTTTAACAGGATTAGGACCATGTCTGGCAGCCTGGTGCCCAATAAATGTCAGTGGGTATGAACTCAAGCATGCTTCAGGAGGGTAGTGCATTCAGGGGCAGTGAGTGCAAATCTGTTCCCCTTTTCCTCTTATTCTATAGGCAGTATCCCTTAATGGTTCTGAGAGTGAGCTCCATTGCTAGGCTACTGGGGTATAAATATGGGCCTGGTACTTACATAAGGGAAGATGTATCTCATAGGTACAGGGGAGTTTAAGTAAGTTAACCCGTGCATGCGGTTTAGAGCTTTGATGGGCAGTAAGAATTTATCAAGCACCTGCTCCGGGCTAGGCTTTGGGGGTACACATTTTAATGAGGCCAAGGTTTAGCCCCTGGGAAATTTACATTCGGGAGGGAAAGACAGGCTCAAACAAGGAAAATGTAGCAAATGATATCACCGAAGGCTGGGTCCAGGATGCCAAGGAAACCAGAGGAAGCTCTCATGTAGCTTAAGCCAGGGCAATTTCCCTCCCCTCCTATGCCAAGGTCAAGGCAAACCATGGCAACACCGCCTCCCCAGACACCCGCACAACAGAGGTAAAAATCAGCCCTTCGAAAGAGATGGGGCTGAAGGGAGAGGCGGGGTAGGCGGTGGCTGTGAAAAAGTGAAATTTCTTCTCCTCCTAAAATCAGCCACCGGAGCGAGAAGAGGGCGCGCTATCTCGCCAGGCTGTCAGCGAGGTGCGGGGGCGGGCTGGGGTGCGCTCGGGGTCCGGGAGGAGGGGAGGGATCGCTAGGGGAAGCGGGTCGGACAAGGTGGGCGCGAGAGGAGGGGAGGGGTGCAAGCGCGTTCAGGGGTGTCTGCCCGCGGGTGGCCGCAGCCCGGCACTGGAGCCCGCGCGGCTCTTCCACTTCGGGGGGCGGGGGTCGTCCTTCTCTTCTCTGTACCTCCTCCTCCTCCTTCCCTACCTCCCGCCCCTCCTCCTCCCTCTCCCCCCCTTCTGCCGGCCCCGGGAAGAGGCAGGGCTGGAGCCCTGAGCAGCCGCCGCTCCTCCTCCTGGCAGGCTGGCTGATGAGTCAGCTGACGGCGGCGCTCCAGCCTCGCCTCGCGGCGCTGCGCTCTCCGCGCTCCCCCAGAGTGGCTGCCAGCCGGCCGCCCACTTTCAGGGGTTTGGGGGACAAAGTGATGTGCGCCTTCTAAAGCCGCGCCGAGCCGCAGCCGAAGCAGCTTCTCCTTTTCAACTTTCTCCCCGCACGTCTTCTCCTGACCCTGCCCTTAACCCGCCCCAAAGCCACTTCGGGTGCCGGCGCTCGGGTGAGGGGGGTCACCGGCTGTCCGGGATGGCTTCCAATTTTAATGACATAGTGAAACAAGGGTACGTGAGGATCCGGAGCAGACGCCTAGGGGTAAGTATGATCCTTTTTTTTTTTTTTTTCCTGTTCGTGCGTTCAATTGTCTTCATCCTTCGCCAGCATCCCTGGAGGCTGGCAGGAGATTCCCCGGCCGCGCACTGGTGAATTGCACTGTGGCTTTCTCAGCCGAAATCCACAATCGCTTGCGGCTGCCCCTGTAAGGCCGGGTCTAGGTATGTAATGGATCTATCTTTATCTCTCGGATGACTTGGCTTTCTGATGGTGGCCGCGTGTTCGGCTTCAGTAGCCATTGGAGCCCATCGACTGGAAATAAATATTTCTCGGTAGCCAAGGGAGTTGGAGCTGAGAAAGCCGGCTGGGGGTGCTGAGCCTGCAGGGTGCCCCCGGTGCCCCTTTTCCCACTCGCCGCCAACTTAACTTTTCCAGAGGATGGGAGGCTAGCTGAGGAAGAGGGCAGGCGCTCTCGGTGTGAACAAGGTCAGTGACCCCCTGACCCCAGGGAGACATTGCTGCCAAGCGGAAGGTCTGTTTGGGCATCGAATCCTGGACAGTGACCCACCTCTGTCCCAGGTGTTGGCTAAGGCGGTGTGGGCTGGCCTCTGGCCAGGCCAACTTGGGGTGGATATCCGAATCTGAATTTTCTCTGCTCTTTATCCCGGGTGGTGAATTTCTGTTGCTGGAATGCACATTGGAAACCCACTGGAAGATTATTTAGGGTGGAACATAATACCTGGCACAGAGCAGGTGCTCCCTAAATATGAACCACGAGAAAGAATGAATGAGTCTGAGGGTACTTGTAGGGGACAGATTTTGGCATAGGGATGGCTCCTTTCTTTTGCCCCCTTTCCCTTTGCTATTCATTGATAGGACTTCAGAGAGAACTCATTCAGCTTCTCTTTGAGATGGAGTGATGGTGAAGGAATTCTCCAGAGAGGGGGATGATACTGGAATGATTTTTTCCCCCAGATTCCAACCTACCTCATTTCTCTTTGCCTTGTGTCAAAAATTGTTGCTGTTTTTCTTTGTTGGGTGTGTTTGGATATTGGGGTTGGCGGGGCAGAAAGTTTAGTAATGTCTGAAATAATATCAGCAATGGTGTGCAGTGACCACACTGGGAGTATAGTTACAGTGATAAACTGAATGTCCTTACCCACAAATAACATGTCATTGGCACCTTTCTCTTCCTTGGTCTTTGTACTTTTTTATGTGCTAGATAATTTTACTGAAAATTGAAAAGAAATTTCACAGTGGTAACCAGCTAGGGAGGATGAGAGGAAACATCTGTAATTATTAGAAACTCTTGCCTGGTTTGTTTTGACCCTTTGCTTGCTTGCTTTCTTTCTTTCCCTGCTGGTTACCATGTTTTAGCAATTATGTCCCATGTTATTGTGAATATATACATATATAATTAGGAAGAACTGTAACAGAACTAACAAATCCCTATCAGCTCTGTGAAAGTTTCTTTGATCTTTTCCGCCATGCACATACTCTTCTCATCAGCAGGAGTAACTATTGTTAGGGTACTTAACCTAGTGACTCCCATGCAAAGGGCAAGAAATAATAGGAGCTTTATGTTTTTGAGAACCTTAAGGGCCAGCTGAGTTGTTACAATTTTAAAGGGAGCATTAAAAACACCATTCTAATTTTAGATTTACTCCATCATGTCAATTGAGGAAATTGATAAGAGAAATCCATTCTGTGTTAGGGAGCATTCCAATAGGAAGAAGACATGCATTATTAATGCACAAAATGTGAATTATTCATAAGGATTGGAGTGTATGCCAAATTGTGACACTTGGTGATTTATTTGAAAGACTAGTTACCATAACTTTCTAGTTTATGGTAATGAAGATTATTTTTCTATATTATTACAGCTGACATAATATGGTCCTGTATGTGTGCCAATGTTTACAGACAGGTATTTGAAGCAGAAGGAAAGGAAATTTAGTTTAGTTTGTATTCATTTTATATTGTACATATTGTATATTGGATGCCAGCGAGCAGTCTACTTTCTCAGGATTTATTCATCTTGTCTGCGTTACTACTCAAGTGGATTTTAGAATATCTATAGAATGATGGTTATTGCTCATGGAGAGAAGGGTCAAAGACATACAGTAAAATCTGGCCTTCTTTAGTAATACCGGTTTTATCACCAGTTAATTTTTTAAAAGTCTTCTTATGATGCAATTGATTTATATAAATGGAAGAGGCTGATTACATAGTTGTCAGAAAACACTGCAAACTGAAGTTTTCATGGAGGTCCCAAGTGATAAGGAAGAATGGCTTCAGGGAATGGTATAGACCCTCTGTCCAAAGTAAGAAGTGTTAGTGGTATTAACCCAGGCTGCATAGAGCCTAGAACAGCATGTGCCTTGTGTAAGTTTCAGTCCGGGCTCTGGCATCACTTCTGTTCAAAGTAGGCACTCATACGTGCACGTTGAACTACAGGGTGATGTGTGACTTTGCAGTTCATAAGCCTCTTGAGGAACTAATATGACATAGTTGTTTTATTAATGGAATCCAGACAAATGTCTGTGGATTAGAACCATGTTTGGGAGAGTTTATAATTAAACAAGAAAACAGCATTTCATGGTAAGCAGCTGTTGTGCCAAGGAATGCTCCCTCAGATTTGGAAAAGGAGGAAAGAGCCAATTCTGCTTCTATTACTCATGAGCTCCATGACCTTGACCTCTCTTGGCCTCAGTTTTCTAATCTGTACAATGAACACTATTTCATGATGTTGGAAGTATTGACTAAGATAATATCTGTGAAAATGTAATGAAAGCATAACATTGATTCTGATTGTATTGTTTGGTATAATCAAAGGTGAGTTAGGATTGGTGGAAGGATATGGGGATTATAGATATCTTTCTGTCCAGAAGTGTCCAATGGAATAAGTGGCTTTTCAGATCTAGATGTTTTCATTCAGTGAAGTTTTTACAAATTCTATACATTTAAGTGATTTTACAGTGGGACATGAGACATTTTAAGATTAGCTCCATTCACATGAATCAAAAATAAATGGTCACTTTTAGTTGAGATCCTATATAGTTCAAGCAATTAAGCAATCATTTTCCATACAGACTTACTCTTTTCTGTAAACATCAAAAGGATTAATGAAATTCAACTCCTTTAACTCAAAAGTCTCAGTACCTTTACATCTGCCTTCTCCAGCTTGAGATCCAAGGGTTCATAGAGGTCTCAAGCTGCATCCTGGATACAGTGTTTGTTCAGAAATGTCTGTGCCACAGTTTGGGGGACTCAGGGAGGGAGGAAAGGAAGCAATTGTCTCCAATTATCTGGCTAATCCACACGAGGCACTAAAAATGTTTTCTTAGAGGGATGGTGAATCCGGCGATTTGCACATCATTAACCTGACTGAGTGTATGGCTTAGATGGTGTCATATAACTGTCCTCACTTGGTTTCTTCCTTTGCAACAAAGAGAATTTCCAATCAATAATTGCCCTGCATGCCTCGGAGTTTAAATTCAGAGCTGTTCACTTAATCTACATGCAGTCTCTCGATTACTCGCGTTTAAATCACATCATGATGCTCTTGTACTTCAAGGGCCTCTTCTCCAGTCTAGCCTGCATCCCCATCTGGACGACTAAGAGTCTCAAACTTAATGCATCCAAAACCCTTGGTTGTTTCTTCCAAACCAGCTTCTCCTGGAGTCTGCATCTTGGCCACTAGAGGTCCCAGTATTTTAATTACCCTGGTAAAAATTAATCAAGCAAGCAAAAAAATAGCAAACAAACCTCTGTTGCATTTCTGTCTGCTCTTATCTCTCTCCCCACAACCAATCCATCACAAGATCCTATGGGCTCTATCTTTGAAATATATCTACAATCTGTCTTTCATACTATCTGCCACTACCATCCTGACCCAAGTCCCCATCATCTCCTCCCTATAATATTAAAAAATACCTCCTAATTTGTCCCCCCTGGCTGTTCAAACCACCAATGCCTTTCCATGCAATTCCGGGGAAGAGACTTAGATGGGCTCAGAGGCCCTCTGCTGACTCAGAACCTTTTCTCTTGCTGTTCCCTCTGCTTGGAATGCTATTCCCTCCGGTATTTCTTCCCAGCTGGCTCCCTCATCTCCTTCAGTCTTTCTTCAAATGCCACCTGCTCACTGAGGCCTTCCAGATACTTAGTTTTATTTCTTGCCTCCTCCTCCTCCCCCATATCCCTTCCATTTCTTCTCTCTAGACTTACCATCCCCTCACATACTGGTCTGTTTATTTTACATGTTGATTGCCTGTATCCCCCAAATAGCACATGAGGCTCCATGGGGGCTGTGACTTCTCTTTTAATTATAGCTGAACCCCAGTGCTGGAATAGTGCCCAGCACTTCATCGACAGTCTTCTTGATGAAGACTTCTTGAATGAATGAATGGATGCATCATTGTGAACTGGTTTAAGAGCATACACTCTGACATGAGACTGTTAAAATCCCAGGTCACCAACTGGTTATGTGGCTTTTTTGGTGAGTTCCTTAACATTTGTAAGTGTCGGTCTTCTGTAAAAATAAAGAGACTCATAGTACCCACCTAATATATGATCCTCATAAAGGGCCCCACACAATGCTTGATACATTGGAAACCTAATTAATGTTTATTACTGCCATTTCTCACTACCACGGCTGTTAGGGATGATGATGCTTAGGTGGGTATTATGTTTACTGCTTCTACTGCAATAACTCTCATCCTCAAAGAACTTGCTATTTAGTTAGGAAAACAAACTTAATACACATGCAGTAATTAATATATAAGCACAAATATTGCTTGACAATAATGCTAGGCCTAGAAAGAATATTTGCCTTTGTAAGATTTTTCATGACCCTGGGATAAATGACAAAGATAATCAGAGACAAAGAAACTCATCTCCATGAAACTTTGAATGAGCGCATCAGACTAGGAGGTATTTCTGTTAATTTGGGTGTCTTTCTCTTGGGTGGTAGAGAATGGATTTGAAAAATGGGTTAGTTAATGGCCCGATTTTAGGCAGAAATATTTTCTCACTCCTTTGTT